CTGTAGTAAGCCCTTTCAAATGAAGTTTTAGAGGTCAGAGACTCAAAGAGACTCAAAGCTGTAGCAGGTACTCTCCTGGAGTTCTTGAATAAGCCAACTGTCATGTTGAGGAGGACGCTATGGTAGCAGGAAATGGTGGGTGGCTTGTGGGAGCTGAGAATAGCCCTAGCTGATGGATAGCAAGAAAGCAGGGACCTACGTCCTACAATTACAGTGAACTAAATTCAGCCAAATACTGCAAGAGCTTGGAAAAGGACACCGAGGTCCAGAAGGCAATGCAGCCCACCTGGAACCTTGATTTTATCCTGGTGTGATTCTGAACAGAGAATTCAGCTAACTTGGACAACAGACCCATGGAAACTGTGAGAGAATGCATTTATGTTGTTTTAAGCCACCAAGTTTGTGAATTTCTATGCAGCAATAGGAAATAATACAAAACATAAAAACAAAAATCGATGAAGTAGACTTCATCAAAATTAAAAACTTCTGTTCTTTGGAAGACATTATTAAGAAATGAGAAGACAAGACTGGGCGAATAGCTGCAAAACACTTATCTGACAAAGGACTAGTATCCAAATCATAAAAAGTTGACTCAATCATAATAAAACAACCCAATTTTTAAAAAAGGACAGAAGATTTGGAAAGATACTTTACCAAAGAGGATATAGGCACAGAGAATGCTGCTCAATATCATCAGCAAGTCATGAAAGCTATGTAGTAGGATAGCTGATGAACGGAAAACTGATTAGGAATTAAAACTACATTAGGAATTAAACTAGGAATTAAAACGACAATGTCTAATCTTTTAAAATTACCAAAAACAAAACAAAACTGGCGAGGCTAAGTGCTGGCGAGGATGCAAAGCATCTGCAACTCTCATACATTGCTAGTGGAAATAAAAAATGGTACAGCCACTTTGGAATCTAGTTTGGCAGCTTCTTATATAGTTAAAGATATATTTACCATACCATATGACCCAACAATCTCATCCCTAGGTGTTTATCCCTCCAAAATGAAAATATATTTGTCTAGACAAAATCTTGTATGCAAGTATTTTTATTGGTTTTATTCATAGCTGCCAAAAACTGGATACAAACCAAATGTCCATCAGCCAGTGAATGGATATAATGGACTACTACTCAGCAATAAAAATGAATGAACATGCATGCAACACAGAGAAATCCCAAGTACCTTATGCTAAAATCAAAGAATCCAGACTGAAAAGGCTACTAAGTGTATGATTCTACTTATAGCCTGAAAAACACAAAACTGTCAGAAAACAGATCAGTGGTATGCCAGGGTTTGGCAATAAGGAGGAGGACTGACAAACATGAAGGAACTTTTTGGAGTGATTGTGATTATATGGCCATATACATTTGTCAGCCATATAATACTGTACATATAAAAAGGGTGAATTTTACTAGATAAATTACACCTCAGCAAACCTGACTAAACAAATTTTATCTTTTTTTTTTTTTTTTTTTTTGAGACGGAGTTTCACTCTTGTTACCCAGGCTGGAGTGCAATGGCACGATCTCGGCTCACCGCAGCCTCCGCCTCCCGGGTTCAGGCAATTCTCCTGCCTCAACCTCCTGAGTCACTGGGATTACAGGCACGCGCCACCATGCCCAGCTAATGTTTTTGTATTTTTAGTAGAGATGGGGTTTCACCATGTTGACCAGGATGGTCTCGATCTCTTGACCTTGTGATCCACCCGCCTCGGCCTCCCAAAGTGCTGGGATTACAGGCTTGAGCCACCGCGCCCGGCTACAAATTTTATCTTTAAGGCCAATAAAATACAGTACGATAAAGCTAAAATAACTATAACAGTATGAGAACAGCTGGGCACAGTTGTTATTACAGGCTCATGCCTGTAATTCCAGCACTTTGGAGGCCAAGTGGTAAAATTGCTTGAGTCCAGGAGTTCAAGACTAGCCAAGGTGACACAGTCTGTCTCTACAATAAATAAAAAATTAGTTGGGCATAGTGGCGCATGCTTATAGTCCCAGCTACTCAGGAAGCTGAGGTGGGAGGATCCCCTGAGCCCAGAAGGCTAAGGCTGCTGTGAGCTGTGACTGTACCACTGTACTTAGTCTGGGCAACAGAGTGAGACCCTGTCTCCGAAAAAAAGCAACAACAAAAAACAGTGTGAGACTGAGAGAAGAACACATTAAGCAGATGAAGAAATTCCATAAATAGACGTATATCTTAGGCTTTGTGGGCCAAATATTAATAGTTTCTGTTGCAACTACTCAACTCCGCTGGCATAATAGAAAATAGTCACTGACAATGACTAATAGAATGGCTGTGTTCCAATAAAACCTTATTATCAAAACAGGTTGGCCGCAGTTTGCTGACTCCTGGTCTAAGCAATAGTGTTGAGAAGAGTGGTTTCCATTTTAAAGAAGTATAGTAAGATACACTTTATGATATTCACAAAACTAACTTCCAGATACATTAAAAATCTAACTATAAAAAACAAATATAATCTTGATTAAATGAAAACTTCCCTAAGAATAACACAAAATCAAGGTATAAAAATGTATGAGACTCTGGGGCTGGGCACGGTGGTTCATGCCTGTAATCCCAGCACTTTGGGAGGCTGAGGTAGGCAGATCACCTGAGGTCAATAGCTCGAGACCAGCCTGGCCAACATGGTGAAACCCTGTCTGTCTCTACTAAAACTACAAAAATTAGCTGGGCGTGGTGGTACATGCCTGTAATCCCAGAGACTCGGGAGGCTAAGGCAGGAGAATTGCTTGAACCCAGGAAGCAGAGGTTGCAGTGAGCTGAGATGGTGCCATTGCACTCCAGCCTAGGCAACAAGAGCAAAACCCCTTCTCAAAAAACAAACAAAAATATGAAACTCTCCTCCTTCAGCTGGGAGCACAAAAGGCTACATCCTTAAAGTTGAATATAACAGGCTCACAGCTGAAAGCCTTAGAAAGACAACACTCTAGAAACAGGGTGAAAGAAGTAGATCGAGCTTTTCCAAAACCACAACCAAGTCTTGGCATAGCTCAATTCCTGACTGGATTAATACAATCAGCCTCCGCTATTATCTGACTGGAGAGGGAAGTGTGACTTCTTTCCAGAGAAAGGTAACATCATCTGGAGTTTCTACCATTTTTATATGTAATGCCTGGGCATTTAATCAAAATTACTAAAAATGTCAAAAAGGAGGACCATTTGCCCAAGGTTCAAGGAACAAACAAACAAGAACAGATTAACCTACAACTCAGACATTACAGTTTGACAACAATGACTTTAAAACCACTCTGGTTAACATGTTCTGGAATATAGTGGAGAACATAAAAATAAATGAAGATGAAGAAGTTCATCAGAGAAGTAGAATTTACTTTTTAACAATCTATGTATATTCTACAACTAAAAAACATTATTAATATAACTAAAATTAAAGCTCAAAAGATAACAGTAGACACAGTAGCAATGGGTGAATTGGAAGATAATAACAAAGATCCAAACTAAAAGCACAGAGACTAAAAATGGTAAGAATGAAAAAGAGTGTAATGGACATGTGAGACACAGTGAAAAGGCCCAATGGTCCAACATATGTATAATTGGAGGCCCAGAAAGAGAAGAAAAATTGGACAGGAGCAAGAATTGAAGAGAAAATAGTTGTGTATTTTTCAGATTATCACAATCAGTCTCCAACACACAGAATAAAGCAGCTCAGAGAACCTCAAGTGTAAATAAAAAGAAAACCACAGTGTAGCATATGATCGTAGTTAAACTGCTAAAAATCAGAGTTAAAAAGAAAATCCTTGCTAGGCGTGGTGGCCCAGATAATTCACACCTGTAATCCACTTTGAGAGGCTAAGGTAGGAGGATCCCTTGAGTCCAGGAGTTTAAGACCAACCCAGGAAATACGGTGAGACCCCCATCTTTAAAAAAAAAAAAAAAAAAACTGAAAAATTAGCTGGGCATGGTGGTACACACCTATAGTCCTAGCTTCTCAGGAAGCTGAAGTAGGAGGCTCACTTGGGCCTGGGAGCTCAAGGCTGCTGTGAGTTGTGATTGCATCACTGTACTCCAGCCTGTTTCAAAAAAAAAAACCCCTAAAATAGCAGGAGGTAGAACATATTATCTTCAAATGAAGAACAATAAGACTGACAGTAGAATTCTTTTAAAAAAGAAAAGATAAAAACATCTTCCAAAATATTGATGAAATAAAGCTATATCCACACAAAACCAGAATTCATTACCAGCAGACCTGAACTAATATACTAAAGGGAGTATTTATTCAGGCAGAAGAAAGAAAAAATTATCCCAAAGGAAATACAAAAATGCAGACACAAAGCAAAAACACTAGAAAGGTGTTTTTAAGGTGAATATTGGTATTACATAATAACAGTAAAAATATTTGTGGAGTTTAAAGCACATACAGAATCAAAATGCATGACACCAATAACTCAAAGGAAGGTATACGGTAGAGTTAAAATGTTCCAGCCTGGGCAACAGCCTGTCTCTACAAAAAGCACAAAAATTAGCAAGCATGGTGATAAGTGAGCCTCCTACTTGGGAGGCTCTGGTGGGAGAATCACCTAAGCCTGGGGAGGTTGAGGCTGCAGTGGGCCATAATCATGCCACTGTACTATACCCTGGGTGACAAAGTGAGACCTGCCTCAAAAAAGAAAAATAAAGAAATGTTGTAAAGGTCTAGCATTATCTGGAGGGTAGTACAATTACAATTTGTATTAGATTAGAATAAGTCAAATATCTGAGGTGGGCAGATCACGAGGTCAGGAGTTCAAGACCAGTCTGGCCAACACAGTGAAACCCCATCTCTACTAAAAATACAAAAAATTAGCCAGGTGTGGTGGTATGCGCCTGTAATCCCAGCTACTCAGTAGGCTGAGGCAGAAGAATTGCATGACCCTGGGAGGCAGAGGGTGTAGTTAGCAGAGATCTCCACTGCACTCCAACCCCGGGCAACAGTGTGAGACTTCGTCTCAAATAATAATAATAACAAGTCAAGTATGCATGTTGTAATTTCTAAGGTATTCACTAGGAGGGTAGTAAAAAGGTATGTAACAATACAAGAAATGTGAAATAATACAGTTTTAAATTAATCCATAAGAAGGCAAAAACAGAAAAAATAACAAATCATGAAAATGAAACAGAAAACAAATAGAAATATGGTATCTATTAACTCAAATGGATTAAATATATGAAAAGACTAAAACTGTCAGACTGGAGTTACAAAACATGCTCACTAAATATGTGCTGCCTATAAGGGACACACCTTAAATAAAGACACAGATATGCTGACGGTAAAATAGTGGAAGAGGCTATCTAATCGAAAGAAATAATAACCAAGAGAACACTGGTATAGCTATACTAATAACAGATAGAGATGTCATCTCTAATAACTGGCATTAATACATACATTTCATAACAAAGGGTCAATCCTTGAGGAAGATATAGTAATTCTAAATCTAAATGTATCCAATAGAGTCGCTCTGAAGCGGGGAAGTGGGACAAGACAGTTTACATCTCGAACGGACAAGTGTTGGACAGCCAGAATCAGTCTCCATGGAGATTATCTTTGATAACAGATTTCTTCTGGGGAATAGCTGAGTTTGTGGTTTTATTTTTCAAAACCCTGCTTCAGCAAGATGTGAAAAAAAAGAAGCAGCTATGGAAACTCATCTAATTCCAGATATCATGATGGAAGAGGGCCACCAGGAAACCCTCCCCGAAGAATGGGTAGAATCAATCATCTGCGTGGCCCCAGTCCTCCTCCAATGGCTGGTGGATGAGGAAGGTAAATGTCTGCTCTAAGAAGCAGACAACTGGACATGTGCATTCATAGCAGAAGGAAACCATCAAGAAGTGGAAGGCTGATCATGCTGAGCAGTAGATGAATGTGTATGTCTACACAAGGACTGTTCTGTGTCCTCACAGATGAATGAGGTCATGCCAGGAATTCCCTCTGCAGGGAACTGGCCTGACTGACGTGCAGTTCCATAAATGTACATGTTTGTCTCATTACCTTTTTGTATAGTTTATTAAAGTATTAATATAGTTTTAATAAGTAAATTTTTAGGTTGCACAATGGACTCCTCATCTTTATATTAAATTCATGAAAAAAACTGAAGAAAATAAAGCCTGTATATTTAAAAAAAATAAATATATCCAATAATTTAGTTTTAAAACACATAAAGTCAAAAATTGAGTAAACTAAAGGCAGAAAAAGGCAAATCCATAAACACACTGGAAGAATTAATACCCTTCACATAATACTAATAAAACAAGCAGATAAAAACTTGGGAAGGATACAGAAAATCTGAACATATATATCTAACAAAGTCAATTGACAAGTTAGAACAATGTACCCAATAATAATAACTTAGATCTTTTTTTCATATGTACATAGCATATTTGCCAAAATTTACCATAAATGGGTAAAAGAAAGCCTCAACAAATTTCAAAGGATAGAAATAATTCCAAGTACTAAGCTAGAAATCAGTAAAAAGGACTGGGCATGGTGACTCACATCTGTAATCCCTGCACTTTGGGAGGCTAAGGTGGGTGAATCATGAGGTCAGGAGATGGAGACCATCCTGGCCAACCTTGTGAAATCCTGTTTCTACTAAAAATACAAAAATTAGCCGGGTGTGGTGGTGGGCACCTGTAATCCCAGCTACTCAGGAGGCTGAGGCAGGAGAATTGCTTGAGCCCGGGAGGCGGAGGTTGCAATGAGCCAAGATCGTGCCTCTGCACTCCAGCCTGGCGACAGAGTAAGACTCCATCTCAAAAACAAAACAAAACAAAACAAAAAGAAATCAGTAAAAAGATAACTAAAAAATACCCAATTATTTGCATATTAAGCAAATATATAAATAATTCTGGAGTCAGGTAAGAAATCACAACAGAAACAAAAAATATTTTGAATGAAATGAAAATCAACACATCATATGCAACAAATGGGACTCATAAAAAGCACAAAATAAGATGGTAGATTTAAACCCCAATATTTCAGTAATTACATTAAATATAAACAGACTACACACTGTATTGGTTAAGACCAATAGTGTCAAGTGGATTAAAAAACAAGAGTCCAAGTATATGCTGTTTATAAGAAACATCTAGAACAAGGATACAGAAAGAAAGAAAAAGTATAGCTATACCAGGCAAATTCTAACTAAAAGAAAGTTGCCCAAGTTGCATTCACATCAGATGAAAATAGTCTTTAAGGCAACAAAAAGCTGTACAGAAGAGGGACCTTATAGAAGAGGGACCTTCTATGCTGATAAAAAGTTTAGTTTATCAAGAAAATATAGGATTTTAAAATTTATATGCACCTAATAACATCTTGGCCTGGGGTGGTGGCTCACACCTGTAATCTCAGCACTTTGGGAGGCCAAGGTGGGCAGATCACTTGAGGTGAGGGGTTTGAGGCCATCCTGGCCAACATGGTGAAATCCCATCTCTACTAATATACAAGAAAACTAGCTGGGCGTGGTGCCCACCTGTAGTCCGAGCAGGGGAATCACTTGAACCCAGGAGGCGGAGATTGCAGTGAGCCAAGATTGCACTGCCACTCCAGCTTGGCAACAGAGCGAGACTCCATCTCCAAAAACAAAAAACAAAAAAACCCCATTATCTTAAGATACATAAAGTACCCCAAATGTATAACCTAATCATGAGGACACATGAGAAAAGTTCAAACTGATGGACATATTAAGGTCATAAAAGATAAGGACTGAGAAACTATTAACAAAGACTCTGACTTCATTTTTTCATGTTTAACTGTTGACAGCTCACCTCCTCCATGTCCTATATCCCGTCATAAACTGGATGTAAACCTCACCTCTTCCTCTATGTCCCATATTCAGGCAAGATGATATGAAAGTCTAGATGCTCCTTCCTTGGGAACCAGCAGGAAATTCAAACTAGGCAGTCTGCTCTTGTGCAGGAACTCTCACCCTAGCCCAAGCCCCTAATCACAATAAATGCCCAAGCCAATCTCTTTCCTTTGTCCTTTCTTCTTCTTCTTCTTCTTCTTCTTCTTCTTCTTTTTTTTTTTTTTTTTGATACAGAGTGTCATTCTATTGCCCAGGCTCAAGTGCAGTGGCGAAATCTTAGCTCACTGCAACCTCCGCCTCCCAGGCTCAAGCAGTCCTCCCACCTCAGCCTCCTGAGTAGCTAGGAATACAGGTGTACACCATCATGCCTAGCTATCCTTCCCTTGTTCTCTAAAGCCATTTCAAACCTGCTTTAGAGCATTGCCCTGATCGCCTGGACCTCATTATTTAAGTTAACAAACCTTTTCACACCTTCTTGTTATGCATGTGACATCATTAGTCTTAACATCCAAACCAAATTTTAAGTGGGGGTCTATATGCCTTTGCAGGTGACCATAACAAGAACTGCTCCCAATTAAATGAGACTAAAGATACAAGACAACTGAATTCAGTGCATGATCCAGGATTTTTTCCTATAAAGGATATTATTGAGACAATTGACAAAATCTGAAGAAAGTCTGTAGATTAAATAGTAGTATTGCACTTATGTTAATTTTCTAACTTTGACAACTGTACTTTGTTTAGGGACCTGTTATTAGAAAACACACACTGGCACACTGGGGCCAGGCGCAGTGGCTCATGCCTGTATTCCCAGCACTTTGGGAGGCCAAGGCAGGCAAATCACCTGAGGTCAGAAGTTCAAGACCACCCTGGCCAACACGTAGAAACCCCGTCTCTACTAAAAATATAAAAATTAGCTGGACATGGTGGGGCATGCCTGTAATCCCAGCTACTCGGGAGGCTGAGGCAGGAGACTCACTTAAACCCAGGAGACGGAGGCTGCAGTGAGCGAAGATCGTGCCATTACACTCTCATGCCATTACACTCTAGCCTGGCAACAACAGTGAAACTGTCTCAAAAAAAAAAAAAAAAGGGAGGGAGAGAGGGAGGGATGGAGGGAGAAAAACACACGCTAGGCAGGGCTCAGTGGCTCATGCCTGTAATCCCAGCACTTTGGAAGGCCAAGGAGGAAGGATCACTTGAGCCCAAGAGTTCAAGAACAGCCTGGGCAACATAGTGAGACCACATCTCAACAAAAAATACAAATCAAAAAATTAGCCAGGTGTGGTGGCACATGCTTGTAGTCCCAGCTACTCGGAAGGCTGAGGTGGGAGGATTGCATGTGCCAGGGAGTTCAAGGTTGCAGTGCCACCTGCCACCACTGTCCAGCCTGGGCAACAGAGCGAGGTCCTGTCTCTTAAAAAAAAAAAAATGCATCGTGTCTAACTTACCCTCAAATAATTCAATAAAAAATACTACACACACATACACATACATACACAACACACAGAGAGAGAAAAGGATAAGACAAAGATAAAATGTTAACAGTTGAGGAATGTGGTCAAGTAAACGCAGGAAATTTTCTGTACTATTCTAGCAGCTTTTCTGTATGTCTAAAATTATATCAATATATATAAAAAAAGAAAAATATAAAATAAAATCGAATAGAACTACAATGCCAATTCCACAAACTGAGATATTTTGACTTCTTTCTTAGTAATTGATAAAACAATCAAACAAAATGGAATACAGAAAATTTAAACAACACAATTAAGAGGAACAAATGGAGACATACAGAACACTTCACGTAACTGAGCACCACATACATGTTCTTTCAGTGCACATAGAACATTTATAATATTTGGGAATATTTTGAGCCATAAAGCAAAACTACAAATTTCTAAAGACTGAAATCACAAGAGCACCTACCAGAATGCAACTGGCTGGAAATTAACAAGAAATACAAAAAATCCTGAAAACTCCATGTGGTAGACAGAATAATGGTCCTCCAAAGATGTCCACATTCTAATTCCCAGAATCTGTGAATACTGGACAACCTTATGTAGCAGAAGAGACTTTGCAGGTATGATTTAATTAAGGATCTTGAGATGACAGGATTAATCTGGATTTCTGGGTAGGCTCAGTATAATCACAAGTTTGTTAGTTTGTTTGTAGAGTTGCAGTTTTACACAGTCACCTAGGCTGGAGTGCGGTGGTGTGATCAGAGCTCATTAAAGCCTCAAATTGCTCACCTCAAGCAATCCTCCTGCCTCAGCCGCCAGAGCTGTTGTGACTAGAGGCACATGCCACCACACTCAGCTACAAGGATTCTTATAAGGAGATACGAGGACCAGAGTCAGAGAGGCGATGTTATGGCAGAAGCAGAGGTCAGACAAAAAGATCTGAAGATGCTATGCTGCTGGCTTTAAAGATTGGGGAAAGGATAGTAAGTCTAGGAATCTAGGCAGCCATTAGACATTGGAAAAGGCAAGGAAATAGATTCTTCTTTAGAGCCTCCAGAAGGAATACAGCCCTGCCAATGTTTCAATTTTAGGAATTCTGGCCTCTAGAACTGTAAGATAATAAATTTGCATTGTTTTAAGTCACTAAACTTGTGGTAATTTGTTAGCGTAACAATATGAAACCGATACATTCCATATATGTGGAAATTACTTCAAATCTGATGTGTCCTTATAAAGAGGAAATCTAGACCCAAGGAGACACAAGGAATGCGCACACAGAGGAAAAGGCCACATGAGGGCACAGCAAGATGGCGGCCATCTGCAGAGAAGGAGAGAGGCCTCAGAAGAAATTAAACTTGCTAATACCTGGACCTTGGACTTCAAGCCTCCAAAACTGTGAGAAATAAATTTCTGTTGTTGAAGCTGCTCAGTCTGTGTTACTTTCTTTCTTTTTTTTAAACCATTAAAAATATTTATTAATAATTGTTTTTAAACGCCGCTTATTTGAGAGAGCAGAAACCAAAGCATTTTCCTTAGAACTCTCACTTAGCTTGTATTTCACAAAAGTGCTTTAGAACTTAAATTTCTACCACTTGTATGGAGTGTAAAGACAAAAGGAAGCCCAACAAAACCAAAGGCCCAACGGTGTCTATTCCCAGGGCCAAGGCAGAACCCCAGGTTAACCCACCTGCCCTGTGCTGAGTCACTGGACACATCTCTGAGTGCTCAGAGTTGCACACAGGAATGCGGGGGTCAGGCACCAAGGCACCTTTATTCATTCATTTCTCAAATTCAACTCCCTTTAAATCCTGACTCTAATAGGCCAAAAGACACTACTCATATTTATTTGGTGCCA